GGACTTGCAATGGTGCAAAGTTGTAAAGACAAGCTGGGAACTCTAAACTCTTTACAATGTTTATTAAGGTCTGAATGATGCCAAGAAATGCATTATTTATCAGCTTAGCACTTGATTAGGTGTTAAATAGCTGTCACAAGAGATTTCAGCAGTAACTGGGTTGACTTCCAGCAACTGTCACATTATAGTGTGATGTAGGATAGAGAACTGTAGGGGAAAGACACACCATAGCATGGCTAGTGCTGCTTTTCTCTCTGTGGGTCCAAGCCGGGAAAGAATAAAAGCGTCTGGGATCTGGCGTGATGGAGGAGGGATGGGCCTCAGTCTAATTCTGCCATTGCCAGAAGGAGCATCTGTTGTTTTCTGGAGGCTGGCCTAATGTTAGGTTAAGAGCCCAAAGAGGTAAGATGTGCCAGAGAAGAGTAGGTAACACAGGCTGGTAAGGAAAGGCTATGCATGAATAAACTATGCAGCAGGACTATGTGTATGTGGTCCTCCAGGTGTCATTGGAATACAACTCCCATTATGAATGACCATTGGCAATGCTGAAGGAACACAGGTTCTCCATCCCTACTATTCAGGGAGGCCCTGGGGGCAAGGAAGGAACAAGATAAGGTAGTGAATCTGAGAGATTCACACCAACAGTGCATTGCACAGAAAGGTGTGTTGGCAGAAAAAGTAGGCCATCAACCACTTATGCCACTAGGTGAACAATTCTAGGGCCTAGGAAGAACGAACAACAGCAATGGTGAAGCTAGCTAATTGAGACCTTGGGATTAATGGTCGCCATGGGGTATGATGTCAAGTTCTGCAAGAGGGCTTCTAAGCACCCTTGCTCTAGGTGGGACCTGAAGAACACTGACATGTGGCTGGAATTATTGGGCCAAACACTGAGAAGAGGCCAGATTCAAGTACAACCAAGGAGTATGCCATAGGATGCAATGCAGTTTCACACAGGTGTGTGAACATTACCGTGGGCTTCATCCCCACACCTCTTGCAATAGGAACCCCTCCTGCTTTGGTGACTCCCAGGGCTTTAACCCCAGAGCCCCACATAAGGATGCCGGTTCCTCTGCCCCAAATGCTGGCAGCAGAAACAGGGGGGAAACCCATCAGCAGAACCCATTATTAACCCATTATGCTCTTTAGCCCCATCACCAATCAAACTAGGGGCCCTATACTCCCCTCCTTCAACCCTATCTGGACCAGCAAGCTGTTCAATATCTCTGGGAAGGTTTCATGCGGGGTTTCGGGATCCTATACTATGAAGAAATAAACATACACACACACCCCTTTAATTGCTACACTCCAATGAAACAAAAAACAGTTTGCCAACCTTATAAATAAAAAATCTGAGCAAACACAGTTGCATGCTTTTTACTCAATTTATCATCTGAACATGAAGGTAGAAGCTAGAAACACTATTCACCAATACGACACGGAGGGGAAGTTTTTAAAAACTAAAACAAAAACATTTTCTTTTTCCTAATTTTGCTAAAAAGAAAAAATAGTAAGGGGAAATAAAGGAAAAGATTTGGAAGCATTTCTGTCACTTCCTCTCTGCAAACTACTTCTGTCCTTGCTTTTCAAAAATGTATATTTAGGGTGTATTCTGTCCTCATCTTTAAATGTTTAACAATATGCCTTCCTAATGATTATATAATTTTCTCTCATTCACTAAAAGCATATTAACAGGTTAAGTAGCTACACATCTTGCTTTTGTCTAAATTAATTAGGCTTAACATTCTAATGGATAAAAGAGGTTATTTTCACAGAAGCAGTTTTGGACAAATTAGGAGAACGATGCCTGTCCATCCAGAACATTAGAAAAAGAAGGAGGTCATCCTAGTCAAACACTAGAAGCAAATACAAAAGGGAACAAGTTATCTAACTTTCAAATATAAATGAAACAGGCAGGAATTGTTCACAGCTTCAGTGAAGCACTCTTTTATATCCTGATGTAATGGAAAGGATGATAGGCCAGATGTAATGGAAAGATTTTGGAAGAAAATATTAGAGGCGTACATTTGACCCTGTCTTTCCGCTTGAGATGCATTAGATGAGATGCTGGTGAAACAGTTGGGGAAAACCCAGAATGCTCTGAATTATAGGAAGTCACAGAGTGGAGAAATGTTAGCTCTCTGATTCCTCTGAATGCTGGTAATAAATAAAACTCAAGCAAGCAATTGTGATGATACTTTCTGAACACATGAATGGAGAGGAACAATGGGCAGAGATGGACTGTGATGTAAAGGATAAGGAGTTGGACTCTGAATTTTTGAGACCTGCATTTTAAACCCTACTTGATCATGAAACTCTGCATGCGGTCTTTTGGAGAAATCACTTTCTAACTGTTAGGAAATATAAAATGGACAATAGTAGTATTCATGAACAGCCTTCTGTGAGATAAATGACAGGCCTGTTTCGCTTGGATAAAAATGATCAGAGGACGGTAACTGGAAGATCTGTAGTGGAAAACAGAAGTGGTTCCAGGAAGTAGGAAAGCTTAAGAGTAGGAAGCTCAGCAGTAGGACAGCTGATGGCAGGCACAAAATTATTCATGGGCTAAAACAGGGGAACATGAATGGAGTATGCAGAGGTGTCAGGAAAGGCAGAAAAGAAAGCCCAACATTTTTTGGGGGGAGGGGTAGACAGCTTTAAAAAACAGCAACACGCTACCTGCCCCTGGAAACAGCACTATTTGCCAAAGCTTATAATAAGAATAGAAAGAATGTCAAACTCTATGTCACCTCATCTAACATAGTACACCATCCACCTCAAACTCTCCAATTATTATTTTTTAAATCCCAGCCCCCAAAATAGAAACTCTTCATTGGTCTGCATGTACACTGTCTTAATCAGATCATTGGCAGTAGCACCAAGCAGCTATTGCCGGCAAGGGGGGCAGGCAGAATTCAAGAGGGCCAGCAGACCTTATTTTTTAAAAAGTGGGCATGGCCAACCTGGTTATTAACCTGGAGTTTCAGTTTTTTAAAGTTTTACTTCCATTAGGCTAACAGGAAAAAAATAGAAAATTAACTTTGAATTTATTTATTTTATTTTAAATAAAGTAAGATTGCATGCAAACACCATTAAAGAGTTTGTGGTACTGTAATACCTTATTTTTGGTCCTATTTTTTTTTAGCTTAGGTTTGGACTGGGTGTTTAATGGTGAATGATGGTTTACAACAGAGCTTTCCAAACTGTGTGTCGTGACACGTTAGTGTGTTGGCTGCAGTGTGTAGGTGTGTCGATTAATGCTCCCCGCTCTCTTCCTGGCTGGAAAGGGTTTGGTTTACTGAGTAAAACTGAATTACTGTGTCACAAAAGGATGCATGTCTAAAAAGTGTGTCACCAACATGAAAAGTCTGGAAAGCTCTGGTTGACAAGGTCCCACAATGTAATGTGTTAGGTACCTTGTAGCATTTGTAAGATCTAGCCTTCTATCTTTGTTGAAAGCATATTGAATCTGTATGAAGAAATCCTTAATTCTATAACTTGTGGAACATGATTTTCTTAAAATAGGAACAGAAAAAGGAACAACAAAAAAGAAGCAGAATGTTAACTACATAGTACCTAACTGTAAAGAAGAAGAAACATTTAGCATAACATATTAATATAGTCCCAGTGATCATCAAACAAATAAGGTAATGCCTAAGTATCTCAGTGATTTAACCTTTAATGGGCTGGCGCTTTTTATCTGAGAGTACATTGTAATTACAGCCAACTTTTTTTATTGCCCAGCACACTCTTATCCTGTAAATGGCACTAGGTAAGTCCATAAATAATAATGTGTTAGCTAATTGGGCCAAAGCCATATTTCTATATTTCTGTAATGCTGTCGGTGCTATTTAAGCTGTGCCAAGCTGGCTACAGTGAAAATAAAGTGATTTAAATTAACCTTCCTGAAATGCTGTCCTATCAAGCTTCAAGGTCAGTCTGTGCCCGTGAAAAGAATACATAATCAAAGTCCACCATGTTGTTTCATTGGCATGTGATATTGAATGGCAACAGAATTTGTAGCTGCACCCGCGGTTTACTATTTTGGATTAATGAAGATACACACAGGAAGGTGATGGATGGAAGATGAAGGGTCCTGTGTGAAGGGCAGGGTAGAGAGGATCTTCCAAGGTAGGAGGCTGGGGAAGAGGGTGAAGCTCCCAGGTGAGAGCTGGGAGAGTTCACTCTTCTGTGTGTGGAATAAGGGCTAAAATAGAATTGTGATAGAGGACCTTGTATTTACTTTCTCTTAATTCCTTCTCTTTCTTCTTCTTTATTTTATTCCATTTCTTCTTCTTGCTTTTTTTCTTTTTCTCAGATTAGTTTATCTTTTATTGTATTTTATGTTGAAAACTTTTAATAAAAATTGATTTTAAAAACACACTAAAAATTACTTTTTAATCCCTTTCTCATAGAACTGCATTTGCCTTCCTTAGCGCCCTCAGTTTCACTCTGATAGTCCAATCCTATGCACTGAAAGTTTTCCAGTCCTGTGTGTCTGTGTATATATCATTCATTCATTCTCCACCATCCACACACCAGAGGTTTTTGACAATACAGACTCCTTAGGCCAGGCTTCCTCAAACTCAGCTTGCCAGATGTTTTGAGACTACAATTCCCATCATCCCTCACACTGGTCCCGCTAGCTAGGGATCATGGGAGCTGTAGGCCAAAAACATCTGGAGGGCCGAGTTTGAGGAAGCCTGCCTTAGACCCTCCCCTTCCATCTTGTTGTAGGCTGCTTATCACTATATGCCAACTTGGTAAATTAAATTTAAAGGAAATGGGGCTGGCTTGAGAAGCAATTTGACATTCTTTTCCCAATCAAATTATAATCCAAGATGGAGATCAAGATGGGCTCCTAATCCTCCTTGAGACAAACATTATTCAAATCAATATGGCTGACCTGACCCAACAACCCCCCCCCAAACAAACCTCATTGCAGTCAACTAAAGATAACCAACCACGCCCTGCCCCCCACCTCTCTCACTACCAAGAAATATGTGTGTAAGTGTATGCATACATATATATGTGTATACATATATATGTGTATACATACATATACACATACATACATATACACATACATACATACATATACACATACATACATACAAACATACATACGTACATACATATACACATACATAAAATAAATGAATAGAGAACCTGCACAAGTGACGCTTGCATAAAACCCCACAAACATTCTAGATACTGCCACCACAATCCCATCTCCCCCTTTTCTCACCCCTCCTTATCTTTCCCCATTTTACTCTGTATTATGTCTCACATCAAATGGGGAAAAAGGCTTTACGATTTTTTTTGGGGGGGGAGGAAGACAATGCACATTTTTTTGTGAACCAAGAAGGTCTTTAATTAAAACAAAAAACAAAACAACATTATGATCTTGGAAGCTCATATCCAGGGTCAAGCCCAGCAGATACCTAAATGTGCATAGGACCTGAAGTCTATCAAAGCCTTATAATGAGATAAACTGCAGGAAGTCTCTTAGCAGATTTAGAGAATGTGAGACTACCTTGCCTTGGAATCATCAGACAAACAGCAGAAAATTGTTTTAATTCTTATGATTATTAGCAGCCTGATGCCGTAGCTTAATCTGATTTGTATTGCATTATTCAGTTTTTATTACTTAAAGATAATATTGCAATTTTCAGAAGCCAACTCATGGTTTGGTGTGTTTGAGTAGGCCAAACGCTGCTAGACAATTAGGAAGACTGTAATTTCATAGACAAAAGATTCAGTATTAAAAGATAGTTCTGGCAGACAGTGCTGCCTGAGTCAAAGGACAATATAGTACCCTCTCCCCACTCCACACGACTGGGTGTTACTTTGATACTGGCAATGGGATAACATCTTCCACAGCACCTGAGGGAAGCAGGCTAGTTTAGGGGGTTCTGCTTCCCAACATCTATTGCCCAAGATGATTACTTCACTTTGCCTAATGGTAGGTTCAGCCCTGCTGGCAGTCAGAATAAAAGGAGTAGGAATCAAATTAGTTGTGATTTGCTGGCTTCAGCAGGACACAGTGACAATTAACTTTAGCTGGGTTAACCTCAATATTTCTAACTGCATGGGTAGACTATCACCCACTAACTTCTTAATAGGCACAAATTAATCTGGGTGCAGAAGAGAAATATGGAGAAATTAAAACAGCCACTAACACTGCAATTTGAACTTACCTTGGATAAAGCATGTGCCAGCCCCCTTTGTCTTTAAAAACAAACAAACAGGGAGAAAGAAAAATGCAGGATGTTTGAAAGTGAAGTATAAAAGCTCAATATTGCACCTTGTTGTGGCAGACTGCACTACAGGGAGAAATTTGTTTCTGACTTATCATTTTTATCCCAAGGCGTATAACTACCAATGCGGTTATTATTCATACAAAGTGTCATAATAGTAGCTCTCAGGGACAGATTCTGGACTGCACTAACATTCACCTATGGCCGTAATATATAGTGAATGATTATTGTTTGGGCAACTGAAGACTGAAAAAAGAATGGCTATTCACCTTTTTGTGAAGAGCCACAAATTACCTAAGGCCAATGCTGCTAGATCTGGCTAAAAGCAGTGAGCCTCTTGCAAGTGGGGATTAGTGCCAGTCTATTATATCGTCTCTGTGTGAAACAGATGTGAGTAATCTTCCCCTAAAAATTGACTGCAAGCTAACAAATATAAAATTAAAATAGCTGAGCCAGCTATATACAGCTGTAAGGCCTGCCTCTGTGGATCCATATGGAGTACAGGCAAGATGGTTGCAGCATTATTTGAGCTCTGCTTGCTTTCCCCCAGAAAATGCTGTGTTTATACACTGCAATTAAAAGCTAAAAACAGAAGTATAATTTTGCATATTTAAACTTGTTTTCCAATTATTTCAGAGTTGTCTTGGGTTTTGCTTCTGTCCCAGCTATTATGCCACTGGCATAAGACTCTGGCACATCAGTCCCAAGCACATTTACTTGGATATAAGCCTTGCTGATTTAACTGAAACTTATTTCTAAGTAAGCATGCTTAAGATACCAAGCTAGGGGTTGTTAAAGTTTAATTCTCAGTTTAGGAAAACTGTTCAATCTGTTCCCAGTATTTCATTATTCTGCAGCACGGGCCAGTTCTGTTGCTACACTTTCTTACCACTGTGTGGAATTCATGTTAGGCAGATGCACAAGAGCAAGCTGAATTAAATTCAACCAAATGGAAGTACTTCAGCAGTCCATCATGAGGATCTAATGATTTTCACCATGCCCTTGTGCCAAGAGGGCATACAAGTGACCGAGATAAGACTACTTATGTGAAATATCTCTATCCTGTTCACACCGCACAACAAAGTAAAACAAATGCAACTGCTAATAAATCTTCATAGTCAATAGAATGTCCAATGAACAAGAAAGGGGAAACTGTGGCTCTCCAATTGTTTTAAAACCACAACTTCCATCATCACTGAGGCCATGTTGGCTGGGCTTTGATGTGAGTTGTAGTCTGTCAACATGTGGAGGGCCAGGTTCCCTACCCTTGTAATGAACAACCACAATCAAATAACCAACTCAACTCCCAATATCATCTTGAAGATGTAAGACTTACAACCCTTTTTAAAGACTATCAGAAATGTCCATTGTTGTTTCTCTGGGAAAACTCTGGGGAATTTATGAAGAAGGTCCCACTACCTGCTCAGTTTGTGACTTTCTACAAGAAAGGAACAAGGAACTCGGTCTGATGTAAACCTTAACTGACAGGAAGGGTACATAAAGGGGGAGAGTGTCTTCAGGGTTTGTAGATTGACATCACTGCCCTCCTAAGGAAACTGTTTACAAGTCAAATGTGAGCAGCAAGGTAAACATCAAGATTAGATCATCATGGAGGCAAATATTGGATGGTGTTACCTAGATTATGGAACCCCCTCTTGACTGGAAGTTTGAACACAAATCCAACTTATTTTCCAAGGAAATACAAAACCTTTCAGTTGCCAGTGATGAATGTATCTGCTATATGTTAACTATGGATTGATTTAATGCTTGTATTGTTCTCTGTAAATAGCCCATATAAGTACTGTTTCCAATGTGAAGTGAAGTGTAGTTAGTTATCTCTTTAACAATGTAATGATGGCTTATTTGAAGCAATATATATTTAATAAAACACATACCTGAACTGCTTTTTTGTTTTTTGTTTTTAAGTCTATGAATAGCAGGCATCCTTTTCTGGTTGATTTAACACTCTGACCCCTCTCTGAACTTATATTTGAAAGAAATCCTGGGAGCTTCACTATACAACTAAGAACACCTGCTGCACACATGAGATACTTCAAAAATGTATTGAGGGGCTGAGAATAGGAAAAATAGTAACTAATCCCTTCACCTGCTCTTGTCACTGTACTTGCACTACTGAGCTTGACATACATGTAGAAACATGTAGCTGGCTTTTCGGATATCAAGGGAAAATGTAACTATCACACCTTACAGCCTTTCTTTTGCATTGGCCCATTTTCAATTTAAAAAAACCCATCTTGCTAAACCATAGTTTAGCTGTCTTGAATGAATGATGGAAGAATGAAATGGTGCACTCCCTCTTCACTCTTCTCCTTATTTCCTCCTTCCCTCTGTGTTTACATTCTAGTTTAATTAAAGTGCAGCGAGCTGTTATGCTCAAAAATGAGTAAGAGTTTGAAGTCGGTTTGAGATTCTGGTTAGTAAACTAACATTAAAACAGTTCCCTGCTTTGGACCCAACAGTTAACTGTGGTTTAATTAAACTGGGATGTAGCATTAAGGAAGGAAGGCGGTGAGCACAGTGGTGAGGAGGGAGCATACAGCCCTGTTGCTCGTTACTGGTTGCTAAGTGATGGTTTAGTAAGCTAGGAATTGACTGTCCCAGCTGAGCCATTTTTGTATGTACAGACTGAGATTAAAGTCTGTGGTTTAGAACACAATCAACAGACATAATGAATTAGAACATTATCAGGCATTGCTATCCACACTTGGTTGTATCCTGTTGTGTCCTGTCACATATGGAAGACTCATTGATCCATTGCAAGTGGCAGAAGTAATTATCACTGATTTTTCCCTGCCCCCTAGACAGCTCCTTGTGCCCCCTCATCTGCTCCAGAAGACTGTGAGACACCCTCTAACACTGTTAGATGTGACATGGGAGGCAGCAAGAGAAAGTGAGGATAGCAAAAATAATCTTCCTTTTTCCTCCTCATACTGGATCAAAAAGCCTTCTGACATCTAAGAGGCAGAACTGTATTTAACCCATTAAGCTTCAAGAATGAGATGAGCTAATGTCAAATATATAAATCAGTCTCCAAGAAGCACTGAACTTTCGAACTCTACTGTTCCTCTTGGGGTTAATTTGCATTGTTTGCAAGAATCTGTCACCACCACCACCTAGGCACAAATCTAGGTGAACTCTGGCTACCAACCTACCATTTGGAAAATTACCACAAAGTGAATGTAGTTTCATGGTCAGTTTAACATCTGCATCACTCTTCCAAGTGAGGAGGGAAATTTTTGCCTTCTTCTCCTGCTCCAGATTTCTGATTAGGTGAAAATGTGTGCAAAAATCTTTATAAGCTTGGTAGGGCAATGTAAAAGACCAGCCTACTACATGACTACATAAACAATGATGACATGCCTTTAAGTAAATTATGGGGGGGGGGGGGCGACGACATTTTTCAGAAAAAAATGCTTGAAATACATCACCCCCAATTCCACATGTTACTTTCTCAAGTGGACATATAACATTGATTAAGACGAGCCAAGTGTAAGTATCCCATTCTCCTAGATCAATCTTCCTCAACCTGATGCCCTCCAGTTGTTTTGTGCTACAACTCCTATCATCATTAAATCCTGCTTTGCCAGTATATATCCCATAGCAGGGATTTTTATACTGAGATGAGACAAACTGGCAGATGGCTTTGTATATGGACTGTACTTACACTGGAATAAAAGAGAATACTTCTTCAAAGTATACTAAAGCTTTTTAGAATAATATACATAAGGCTGATTTGGCTCCTTGTAATGTCTTGTAATCTATTGTAATCCTGCCTTTTTGATTAGGATTAAGCTTTT